ATACACACATATATATATATATATATATTATATATATCTATATGGATTATAGATATATGTATAGAGTAAAAGAGTGGCCGATTCATAGTTGATGGAATGATTTCTCAATCTATGTATGCTTCGATTTGTAAAAAGTTAATTGAAAAGTTGAAGGTAATGAATGATTTTATGTGAACGTAATCCGTGTTGGGAATCCATTTATCAATTATCTATAATGTAACAAAACATTTGTTGAGCATTTACAATAACGCGCAGAGATATATTCTCCTCAATAATCAAACCCCAAAGACCAATAATGTATGTCTTCCAAGATATATACAACTTATTTATGTATATAATCCGCAATAGGTTCTTATATGACAGATAACGAGTACAATTTTTACTTTAGAAAGATTTAAATAAATCTAAAATTGTGAAAACTTTGCGTCCATATGTGTATTGAACCAAATCTAAACTGTTCTTGTATTTTATTGAAATCCTTTTAAAACTGCTGAAACGTGTTCTTTATTTAAATTCTTATTACATTTATACTTCTTTATAAGATACAATCAATCACAATAATCCCTTAAAGATAAACGAGGTACTACGTTCATGGACTGCAGTTCTTGAAACAATAATTTACAAGCATAAGGCATCGTTATCGTAGAAACGGAAGAGCTGGATTTACACCTCTGGCACCAACCGTTGTATCCTATCAGACCACATTTATTACAAACATCAACTTTAAAAGCATCACTCGATATCATGAGCCTCTCTACTAATAACATGCTAGCTCCGTAACCGATCAGACAGTCTCGCTCCATTTCACCTAATCGTAAACCACCTTCCCTAGAACGTCCTTCTGTCGGTTGACGTGTGAGGACTACCCTTGGACCTCTAGCTCGAGCGTGCATCTTGTCTTGCACCATATGTTTCAATTTTTGGTAATAAACCTATAAACCACATTTTTAACGTTACACGAGAAATATCAAATATGTTTATCCATTTATCTGCATTAGAGATAAAGAACATTTGAAATACATATATATATCTATTCTATCACTATTTTAATTAAGATGGATAGAATTCTTACAAAAATATATGCTTTCTAACAATGTATTTACTATTCGTGTAAAAAAATTAAATTATATATGTATTTATTTCCTACTTTTTAAAAATAAATTTCTTATCTAAAATCAATTTAAATGACAATCTATTTATCCACGAGAAAAAACTTACTGGTCCAGAGTAGATGTATCCTATCAGTGGTTTCCCAGTCATACCATTATAGAAGAAATCTTTACCTAAATAATTATAACCATTCTTTGCTAATTCTTCGCGGATATCTTCCACTTTGGCACCACCGAACGCTATCAAATAAAAATAATAATATCAAACATAGCATTAAATGCATAAACCAAACCTACAGCAATACTTCTATACATAATCTAACTTATCTCACAACATATATTCGCTTTTTTCGGTATTACAATTATATACATTTCCTCACGCAAGATTTTACAATCTAACAATTAATCCTATATAACAGGTTCGATCGTCAAATTCTGTCATTATTATAATGTCCGTGCTACATGTGCTATGTTTTGATCTACGTTGGAAATTTTCTCGTGACTGAGATGACAGCTTCCTCTCTTTAAACAACTTTAATATCATCCGTACGTGCATCGCTGAACCACCAATCTCAGATGTCAATAATTGAACCAAAGAACTTTCTGATTCTCCGTTAAATTATTTAATCAAGACATTAGCAGCACAGCAAGGAATCACGTCCTAATAATAATATTACAACAGTCGAGAAAGCAAAACACACATGATCAACACTCGACGACACAGACAATACTGAAATACGAGATGATATGATCCTCACATATTGCGTTAAATTCCGCTTCTATGGAAAGAAGACTTATAGAAGTGGAAAGTATGATTCTGGTAACCTTTCAGTGTCTGTTTGCTTATTTACACCATTTTTTTGTTTTTTTATATGAATCATTTCTGATGTGAGTCGTTTGTACATATAAGGTTCTTTGTCTAAGATTTGAACATTTTCCCAATCAATATCATGTTCACTATTCATCTGGTGTTCTGCTAATACTGACGAAGATCTTTTTTGGTTTTTTACATCCGATTTATGTTCATTAATTCGAGTACCCATTTTCTTTTTTGTCTGACCCACGTATGATGCATCGCAATTTGAACATTTATGACAGACCGAAACGTTTATTTATCAGTAATTATGTATCATTAAGATGAGTAAAATATAAATAATTTTTTAATAAGAATTCGCTATTTCAATCCTGCGCACGTGGAAAAAGCCATCTAAAACCGAAAGTTATCTTTTAAATCGATCCACGGTTTATTATTTATTAATAGCATTAAACATTAAATACATTAAGTAATTTTCTTTTAAGATATACCTGTTGCATCAGCAAATTTTCCATTCACAACACCAGCTTTGCCTGCAAGTACCTCTATTAGTTTACCAACAGTCATTCTAGAAGGAAAGCCATGCGGGTTCATAATTATGTCGGGACATATTCCTTGATCATTGAATGGCATGTCTTCTTGATCTACAATTAAACCTAAATGGACATTATCGGGGATTAGTACATTTCTCTTGCATTTATATAATACGAAATGTCACGCGCTCAAAATAATTATACCTATAACTCCCTTCTGTCCATGGCGACTACTGAACTTATCGCCAATCTCTGGTCTTCGAGTTTGCCTTAGTAACAGTTTTGTTAAAAAGCAATCGTCTGCATTACTAGTTACTATAACTTTTTCCACATATGCTGGAACCATGCCTTTGAACGGGATTTCCGCGCTCCGATATTCCACTGCTTGTGTTTGTACAGTGCCAGAACTCACTGAACCGATGTTCTCACTCGGTGTTGGAACCGATTTGTTTATCATTATCTACATGTATAGCATAATATTAAGTACAATGTAATGGAATATCTAATATCGTTCAAACAGGTAATACTTACAGTTTTGTTTTCTACCATCTCACCGGGTGAAACAATTCCGTCAACATCAAGAACTTCATGCTTCGTTATAGGTTTCTTAGTATTAGCATCTAGCATTGGTCCCATGATTGTGTCTTGCGTCCGATTGGCATATTTTTTCAGTACACATTTTGCATTTCGATACACTAGGCATCTTCCGTATCCTCTATCAATGGAAGCTTTATTGAAGATCAATGCGTCCTCGATATCATATCCACTGTACGACATTACAGCGACAATCGCATTTTCACCGGCTGGCAATTTGTCGTAATTAATTAACTCGATTGCTCGAGTTTTCACTATAGGCGTTTGCGGATATACCAGATTGTACATTATTGTATCGATGCGGTTACGTTGATTGTATCCTATGATTCCCATGGCCTGTTTACCCATAGCGCATTGATAAGTGTTCCTCGGGCTCTGATTGTGATGCGGGTATGGTATCAATCCTGCGCACACTCCCAGTATAGTGAATTCCGCAATTTCCAGATGCGTTGTATTCTCATTGATTTCCGATTCCGTACATGCGATTAAACTATCATTCTCTTCATTCACATCTAAATATTCTATCGATCCTAAGCGCAATGAATAACAGAATAATTACGTATTTGGAAAAGAATATATCTATGTAAATGCAACAAAATTAATTTAAATTATTTACCATCATAAAGGAAGTCTTCAAATGATGTGATATTTCGTTCAAGATTCTCTATGTGCTGTGGATTAACAAGAGATTTTTCATTCTTAACGATGATTAATGGTCTGCACAATCGTCCGCCGTCAGAACTGATTTGAATGCATTTATGCCGATGTTGCGTATATATTGATACAAAACTGTTAATATATCCCTTCCTGCGCAACAATCTGAACTGACGTACCAGTCTCTTATGATTTTGCACGATGCCCACCATGATACCGTTCACAAAAACGGTATATATATCTTCGGTAGTTAGTTCTTCTCCAGCAAGAGTATAAATATTCTCCACACCAAGATTAAGCACCAGTTTTATTATTGATTCTTCTGGTACTTCCGTAGTTATATGAGCCATCAAAGCCAGATTCTTCGCTAAACCACAAGCTTCTCCTTCGGGTGTATCGTTCGGGCATAACATGCCCCATTGCGAGCCCTGTAATGACCGTGGACCAGAAACTTTCCTGGTCTTCTCGAACTGAGACTGGACTCGCGTCATCATGCCAAGTGCCGAAATGTAGGACAATCGTGATAGCACTTGTGTCACACCATGCCTCTCCATTTTAAATCTCTTGATTGTCCAATTACCCGTTGATATAGCAGCAGTCAGCCCAGAGGTAATGGTATCGCGTCTCATGTGATTAACAATGTCAAATGCTGCTGCTTTAACTTTAGGAATATTTTTATTGGCAATCTGCTTGAGTTCCCGATTAAATTTTTTAAACAAATCTTCGAACATTAAAGCGAGAAGGGAGCCAGCCAGTTCTAGACGTTTATTACCATAATAATCCTTGTCATCAATCAGACTATGATCAGATTGAGCATTTATAACTCTTCTGATCATCAAGGCAAGGTACAGCGCCTTCGGTCTGAAATTGAAGTCGACAACAGGTACATGAGACAATATATTCGTTGCTAATAAATCTTTTATCTCATCAGTAAAATGCAATTTTGGTATATAGGGTCTTATCTGTTTCCGTTTGTTATTGAGGTATTTTAATGCTTGATTTTGTGAAAAGATACCCAGTTCTTGACAATCTTCTAGACTAGCTGCAAATTTGTTCAAATACGTTTCTTGTGTTCCAACCATTTGCATGATCTCTAAGTCGCTTACGATACCCATAGCTTTAAAAATGATAGCAATCGGTATGTCGTCTTGGAATATGTTGTGCCTTATGAAATATTTTCCGGCTTTCCCCACAACATTAGT